AAATCACTGATTGACTAAATACTAATTGTTTAAATTTACAGCTATTTAGTAAAAGATGATTAATGTTCAGACTTTTTGCTACAGTTTAGTTTCAAAATGTTCGACGAAGAGTCATAACAAAGAGTTAAAAAGCACTGGTTGGGCTAAATTCAACGAGCCTGAGTTGGCCTTCTTATATTTTTTTTTTTTTTTTTGCGTCTCAACATGAAGTACTGGTTAGCGAGTCTAGTATGGTTACTCATTAGTAATGAGTTCGATCTTCACTCAATGACCCATAACAGAATTCACCATTAACTAACCCAATAAGACTTAATGTGTTGTAAAACCACTCAGCTTAATCACAATTATTTCATCGAAAATATTTCGTAATGGGAACAAATTTAAATTAATGAAAATTGATCAGAAAGGTCACTCTTACGTTTATAACAACACTCCGTCCAGGAAACACAGAGCAAATATAATGCAAAGAATTCTAACTTACTGTTAGATTACTGATTGAGTCGTCTTTCAAAATAGATTTGGCCCAGTTGAGTATATGACTATAACCCGGAGAAGACGTCTTCAAAAAGTAAGAAAGGTACGTCATACCGGAGAGGTCATCAAGTTCATTGCTGGCAAAATCGTCCGCTGAAACCACCATTGGCACTCCAAATTCTTCTTTGGCTATTTTCATCGCAGACCGACAATTCTCCACTCTGCAAGTAAAGACGGATAATCTTGAATTAAACGGGATTCTTACAGAAAATATTTCATCGTCATCAAGAATTTTCAACGTTTTTTTTTTTTTGTTTGTTTGTTTTCAGTGTCGAAGAGACTATGACTGCGTGTACATCCCCGCTCGCACGTCTGCTATGTCCGCTCGCCGTTCCGATTTGATTGCGAGGAAAGATGGAAGAAAAATGCATATCAGACGCTGTCCGGTTTTTGTGAGATAATGAAAACACGCATAATCAAAAGAAAGAAAATGAAGAGAGAGAGAGAAAATGAAGAAAGAAAGAAAGAAAGAAAGAAAATGAAGAAAAAAGAGAATTAATAAAGGAACAAAGAAAAGAAAAAGAACGAATGAAAGAAAAAAGAAAATAAATGATGAAAAGAAAGAAAAGGCAATGAAGAAAGAAGGAAAGAAAGAAAAGAAGACAACAAAAGAAAGAAAGAAAATGGAGAAAAGAACGAAAGAAAAGAAGAACAAAAAAACTAAGAAAGAAAGAAAATGAAAAAAGGAACGATAAGACAAGAAAGAAAGAAACAAACAAACAAACAAACAAACAAACAAAGAAAGAACAAGCAAACTTCAAAGCAGAGTAAAGGAGGCGGGACATTTGAAAGAAAGAAAGAAAGAAAGAAAGAAAGAAAGAATACGGAGAAACAGAAAACTAAGCAAGAAAGAAAGGAAATGAAGTAAAAAACGAAAAGATAATGAAGAAAGAAAGAAAGAAAAGAAAGAAAGAAAAAGAAAACTACGAAAGAAAGAAGGAAAAGAAAATGAAGAAAGAAAGGAAAGAAAACAAAATAAAAAAGGGAGGAAAATAAAAATAAGAAAGAAAAAGAAAAAAGAAAGAGGAAGCAACAGCAGTACCAGTGAAATACAAAATCTTATCAATTTTTATCTGTTCATTTCTTAATGTACATTCTTTAAAAATCGCTATGCGTTCATAATTATGATATATTTTGTAACATGGCTCGAATTTTCAGGATAATTTTCAGTTTTGTATCAACCGGCGGTGTTATACAAGACTATCCTTAGAGCAGACTAAGCAGCTGTCTTATTTCCTATACTAAATTTGTTATAACTGATCCCAACACCGTTTTGTATTCACTAATTCCACGTCCATTTTATGATGGACACAATGGACATAGCCATCACAGTTTTCATTCCAATTCCACCTGGCCGGGAAGATTAAAAAATTAATATTCGCTCGCGCCCCAAGTGTGGGCTGTCCCAAAGAAGTACATTTCCCTCGCGAGAGGCTGGGGTCATTACCCGACGCCTAAGACATCCCAAAATGTTCAAGTGCCAAGGGGGTTTAAGCAAATTTTTTTCACCGTATTGCTTGTAAACCTGTAGTGGTGCTGTAAGTATTGTTGGCTAGGGTCACCGTGAATATAATAAAGAAGGAAGGCTGTGTTCTTGTAAAACAACACCCCCACTGAATAATGCACAACAAACACGAGAAAAAAATAATCAAGCTCAGTGAACATTAATAAAATATTGTATGAACAATGATATACAAAAATATCAACAATAGTATAAAGAAAGTTGCTTCCCTTTTTCCGTAATAAAAAGGGTAAGTTTAGCTAATTAATGTTGAGTACAATATTGAATGTTATTTAACTACAAAGTTCAATTGAAGTCTTAGCTAAATAAAGAATAGTTCCACAGTGTTTTATCAGTGTAGAAAAATGTAATGTTCACGAGTGACATCAATAGGAATTAGTATGATTACTCGATTGAATGATAATTAAGAATTAAAATGTCAGTATAGCGCCGTGCCTTATTTTCCAAGAATTGAACTGCTACTTGCTGTTGGCAAACAGCGAGAGTCTTTATATAACGATGGATAGGCTCCGGATAGCTTGGCGCCAAAAATATAGAAAAGATACTAAAATACGCGATTGGTCAGGAAATGGACCAATCCGTGACTTTAGAGAAAAATTTGAATTACTTGCGATGGTTAAATTGTCCTATAATAAGTATCATGTATTTATTAACCAATGACATTAAAGAAAGCGGGGGTGTGGCACATGTAAGTGATTCCCACAAACCCACTTTAAACTGACCTGTTTCATATTCGGCTATGACGTGGGCGTACTTATCATTACCAATACATATAGTTTCTGTTTTGGGAATGTTTATCTTGAGTTCTATTTCTTGCGACACATGGTAGAGGAGATTGATATTTTTTTTTTGTTCAAATTCATTCTTATCTCAACTATGAATACCGATGTCATCAACATAGAACCCCTTCATCATCAATACGCTGGCCGCAGATAGGAATGCAAGCACACTGTTTTCTGTTCCTTGATTCGTTTGAAATATGCCATAGAATGCTTAGATGATCACTGCCCATTTCTTCATAAGTGTGCTTGTAAATGCACCGGGCATATTCTAGAAAAAGATTAAATAGATTGCAGTTATCATTTCCACTTTGTCCTTCGACTGATGAGGTCTGCAATGTTTCCGCCAGACAAGTACGTTGTTGTAGACCGATATAATTTCTCTATCAGCTCTAGACATTCACTTAGAGCTTATAAGGCAGTTTTTTAATGAACGGAAGGGCATATTCTCTATATTTTATGATGTGGCAATATACTGCTCTCGGATCGAGATGACAGGTATACAATTATGTATTGGGACATAGGCAATTTCCTGGAGTTGTATGCTGGTATATATGCTAATTATTAAACCCTTAAAACCAGGTGACGATCCTGGGGATGTCACATGTGAAAGAAAAATACATGTTATGCGTCAAAATTGTTTTTTCAAGATAATTTTTTTTTATAATGATTCATTGACAATATGTTGTGCTGTCATTGTCAAAAAACTTGAACAAGATGTATATTATTGTTATAGTGGAACAACCTATCACACCCCGACAATGATTGGTCAGTCTAAAGAGACGTGAATGAGGAGAAAATAAAAGATGTGACGAAGTATTGTAGTAGCAGTACCACTACAGATCTCCGTGACGTAGCTCCCGGTTTTCTTCTTATTATTATTATTATTATTAAGAACTCTTACTCATTGTACTTTCCGTACAATAAAACCTTGTGATTTGTTTTACCTAATTCCTGTGTTTATCGTAATCTCTCCACTCGGAATTACCTAGTTGTCTATATCGTATTATCCACGATAAAACATATATATATATATATATATATATATATATTGGCTCCTGAAATATCAATTTCAGTTGAGCTCTCTGGGGAGGAGGTGCGGGTTGGTAAACAGTGACTATTATAGCTATATAGCGAGACTCTTCGCAGATGCGAATTGAGTCACTGTCGGTCACTGGGCGTGTTTCTAAAAATAAATACGCTAAAAATCCAATTTAACCCTTACTGTGCGCCGACGGCTTAATGGTTAGAATCTCCGACTAACACCAATTCAGTCGGGTTTCGATCCTAGCTAGAGGCAACCGGATGTCTAGCAACACTGATGAGCTGCGAAACAGTCTGTCTGTGGATGACGTTATATATCTTGAATGAGTTAGGTTCGATTAAGTAAAACTGGAGGCTGATCTCGAAAATGAACTTCAATCAGTTGTTAACTGGGGCAAGAAATGACTTGTACATTTTAAGCATCCCAAACGAAAGTGATATATTTTAGCTACATGAGAGAATTATTTTTACCTTCCGTCTACATGGCTGATGCTAATCTTCAGAAACAAAATCTCATTGCACCTTATCAGACTCACGTTTTCCACTGACATAATGTGGAATGATTATATTGAATCGATTGCTACGCCTGCTGTTATGAAAGTTGGTTCATTGTGTTGGGCAAGACATGTTCTCTTGCCAGAATCCATCATGCACGTTTATAAATCTACCATTTGACTGCGCAGGGAATATTGTAGACATATTTTGTCTGATGTTTCTGATATAAATCTGGAAATTCTTGACAAAAACTATAGAAGGTTCTTTATTGTTATCGTTCCTGACTTCAGTCATTGTCCCACTGCCGTGACGGGAATTCCCTGAGACATTTCTATAAAGATTTCTTCCTTGCTATCGACACCACAGGAATTTAAGCATATTACCAGATTGGCAAATGAGCCTTATCATTTTACTGTTGAACTAGCGAGATGGTACTGTACGATCTTTTCTAATATTTTCTTTTCTCGCACTTTTTGTCTGTGGAAATGATTTCCGGTTACTTGATTCGCTGCCGCCTATTTGAATGCAGCATCAATTGTCATCTTCTGTCTTCCTGAATCCTGTTCGTTTATTGTTCTTTCGCCTAACTGATGTCTTCTCTCCACTCTCCACTCTCGGTACTACTAATGGCTTAGTGGCATTATAGCCTTACTTGAAATGAAAAGATTAAAAAATAAAAATAATAAAGTAGAAAAAAAACAGATATGAAACCGGTATCTAAAGCAGTGCAATGTTCAAGTTTACACTTATTTTTAAACCGATGTTCACACAGTAGGAGGTTCAAGAACCACTTGATGTAAAGGTTTTATTGTGGATTCCGAGATGAAATTCGGTCTCTAATGAATGACAAACGCAAGAATTAAATATAAGAAATTAAATGTATTTTAATTATATTTAAATTAAATGTACACAATAATACAATGGGCAATTCTGTTAGTAAATCCAGGAACGCAGTTAGTAGCGATAATAATATATATATATATATATATATACAGTCTCGAAGTAGGACTTCCTTAGAGTCTACGTGCTTGTAACTGTGACTTCTACAAGCGGTTACCTCACACTATTACTCTACCTCCAAATCTATCACAATCTCTGCTCACTCACTCAATCTCTATATTCTGACTGACTCTGGGTATTTAACGGCAGCAGTCCAAGTAACGCTCTGGTCGAATCCACATATTAAAAAGGGGAGGACCCCATAACAGGTTTACAGCGTAATATGCACAGTTTATGGGGAGATCTGGGCAGATAACAGTTAGTCCTATATCTGAAAAGGTTAATATTGTACAAGATGGTTTCTGCTGCAAAATGGCGTGCAGACTCAAATCCTACCGGAAACTACATTTTCCCCCAGGGGGCGAAAAAAATGGAACGTCTATTCAGATACGGCTATCCACTACAAATAACGTTTGATGTATGAGATTGAATTGTAGGTGAATGACTGGTAGATCAATAAGTTCTCCCGGCACGTCTTACAATGACTTTATTTTGAACACATTTCCAGACCTGCTAGTGGATGTAACCCTGCTAATACAAAGACACATGTGGTTCATGCATGGTGGGGTACCAGCCCATTTTAGTCATATTGTTCGCGATGCATTGGCTGACACCTATCATGAATGATAGATAGGTAGGGAAGGACCGGTTCGATGGCCTGTGTCCTTTGGATTTTTATCTGTGGGGTCACCTACAAAAATTGGTTCATGCAGAAGACATTAAAACACAGAGACACTTCATTGAAGTGTCATGGGGGCCTGAAAAACCATTCGACACCGTGTAGAAGTATTTGAAAGAGTCCGCCAGTCAGTGATCCGACGGATGCATGCTTGTGTAGAAACAAGTGGAGGACATTTTGAACATTTGTTATGAGTTGCTATGTTGAGGTACAATGGTGGCCTTTTGGATATATGTTTATATGGACATTTTACCTTGTTTTGGTGTCAGGAAATCACACCAAAATTTTGTAAAAGTATTTTTGATAAACTCTGTATATAAGAAGAGAGATAGTGGAGAAGGAGAGAAAGCAAGAGTGAGAAAAAATGAGGTTTTTTAGTTGACAAATATATTCTCAAGTGTGACAGAATCTTGAAATGGTGTCGATGGCTGTGCTTGAAAACAGATTTTATCTATTTTTATAGCATAAAATCCATACTTGACAATTCCGTGATGTAAAGTTAATACATTTCAGTTTGAAAATACCGTCTTTCTAATCTCTGTAAAGACTTATCATGCAGCATTTTATGTATGCTGATAATTAATAGTCATCAAACGTCATGCAAAGTGTCAACACTTGAAGATTACCGAATCAGTTTCAAGTACAAATATATATCTGGACGTTTTAAACAGTTCACCAGGTGTTTTTTTTTTTTTTTAAATATCGGAATAAATGCCACAGATATCTAAGTGCTACGGGGTAAATTACGTAAAATAGCAGATAAAATAGCCAGATAGTTAGCTATATATATATATATGTGTGTGTGTGTGTGTGTTTGGTTGCAGATAGTACTGCTTCTCTGTATCACAGTTCCTCAGTGCGAGTAGACAACATAATGCCTCAAGTCAGGATTGAAAACCAATCGATTTGGTGTCAGCCAGAGCTTTTTAACCACTGAGCTATCTTCAACAATATATATATATATATATATATATATATATATATATATATATATATATATATATATATATATATATATATATATATATATATATATATATATATATATATATATATATATATATATATATATATATATATATATATATATATATATATATATATATATATATATATATGCTAAATTTAGCTGCCTCATTCTGTCGAATGAATATATATATATCATGTCGAAGAGCAACAATGCTTCTCTCGAACATTCAGGCCGGTAGACGAAAATAAATTTGCTGTCGGATAAATAAAATATCGATTCTAAAAATCTCTTTTTATTCATGTTTGTATACGAGAGATATAGGACTTGCGCTTGTAAGTATAAAATTTGTCTTCGTGGACAAATTGGTCAATGCGTGCCGGTCTTAACGGTAGTTCCCTCAGATCTGAAGGATGCAGGTTCTTTTTCACTAAAATAATATTTTAAGTTATATATATATATATATATATATTAAAACAATTGAGCATTTCACCGCAATCATTTATTGGTGGGAACGTCATTGGTAGAAAGGGTTAGTGTTTATTATTTTGAATATTAAATAGCTGCGCACTTTCTTTTTTTTGAACAGTGTATTGAGCACTTTTTTTTAATATAACCATTTCCCAGACATTACATACTTTCTTCTTTGTAAAAGCAGTTTTATTTCATATATATATATATATATATATATATATATATATATATATATATATATATACGTTGTCTTTCAACGTTAGATATACCTATATATTCCCCGACCAGACGTTGAATTATGACACGTGCAACAAAATAAATCCTACATTCGCCTTGATAAAGTCGCGTATAGAACGAAAAACGCATCGGCTTAAAATAATATTTTCTATTGTGTTTTTTCATTTTCCTTCTTTACACTCTGTCTGAAAATACTTTTACAAACGCGCGCACACACACACACACACACATATATATATATATATATATATATATATATATATATATATATTTTGGAAAGTGCCCAAAATGCAAAACTACAGGTTAATTTTAGCTTTGTGAGGAAACTGATAGACGCAACCCTTGGGTTGTCGATGATTCTGCTAGCACAGATTCACAAGTCATAATGACCGAGAGTTTGGGAACACTCGCCTTATCAGGCAATTGATCACGCCAGATTATGCGTTCTCTCCCAGAAACTGAAACTAAGGTCCGCCTGACATAGTCGCAGTATAAACCACAGTGCGTTGAGCGAGCGTCTGTGATGAGAATTTGCTAGCCGCCCAGGAATATAGAGGAATAATTATCTTTAGTATAATCTTTCGCTGTGTAATTTTACATCGACCACTGTTTTGTTACCAGCACTCACTCTGCATTACATTACACAGATAGATAGATAGATAGATAGATAGATAGATAGATAGATAGATAGATAGATAACAGCATCGATGAATATTTAAAGCAGCAAGATGGGCAGACATAAAAAAAATAGCGTCTACGGAAATGCTTTCTATTCAACCAAGTATCCTTTTAAGAAAAAACTGATAAAAAATCTGATCTGGTCCGGTTTGACTTTTAAAGTTTTGAGCAGTATTCCTTCGTAAAGCCCCTATTAAATATCCTCAAAGATAGATTGATAGATATATAGATAGAAAATTAACAGAATCAGATAGATAGATAGATAGATAGATAGATAGATAGATAGATAGATAGATAGATATGAACAAATTGATGAGGATGGATATGAAGAGTCTGAAATACATGGATATGAACAGATTGTGATAGATAGATAGATAGATAGATAGATAGATAGATAGATAGATAGATAGATAGATAGATATACGCAGGCTCATTTAGACCAACAAAATATGCCTGGGAATGGCTGATGTAACCAGATTGAATTAAATTCATATTAGGTTGATGCAAGATATTATCATTATTTTTAGAAAAAACATTTTCTTCATATAAATTCATAGCAGTGGTTTGTCTGATATTAGGCTTCCTTTCACCTCAGCAGTGAATATCACCATCAGAGAGCAATTGTTGGTCAGATTCTTTGAATTTTTTGAGAATATTTCCGATACCTTGAATATTATTTAATTGCTAGTCAAAGAATCCAGCAAGGAAATATAAAATTACAGCCCGAAGATGACAATCCTGAAGAAGAGTTCATATGTAGAAACGTCCCTCCATGTTGTATGAATCTTTGACGCGTTGCATTTTCAATTTATTAGGTAGAAACGTTTCTCTTTTGAAGGAAAAAATACGTTCTGTGCTAATACGTCCTTGAAATAAGCCTGTAGCTTCATTCCAGGAATTCGTAATGTCAGTATAACTGCAAACCGTAAACAAATAGATTCTGTTTTATATACTGAATTTGATTCTATACAAAAAAACAAACAAGCAAAAACGACTAAATGCTTATGCAACCAACACGTAGCTTTAACAAATGAATGAATGGAGACCACTCGGTTGAACTGAGACATCCGAAATTAGTTTTTGTTTGAAAAAACGGGAAATAGGTGAAAGGATGGGTAAAATTAACGAAAGAAAGAAAAGGAATATATTTGTGGAAGGAAAGAGAAGAAAGCAAATTTGAAAACAAAGAATGAATTGGCAAAGAAAGTGAGAAAAAATCGGTGAAACAATAAAAAATGAAAAGGTTTGGTGATACAAAAGAAGTAATGAATCGGTAAAAGAAAGAAAGAAAGAAAGAAAAGAAACAGACGTGTGAAAGTAAAAGAGAAGAAAGAAAATTGGAAAGAAAGAAAGAAAGAAAGAAACAAATAAACAAACAAAGAGACAAAGACAGAAAAGGAATAGATGTGTGGAAGGAAAGACAAGAAAGAAAGAAAGAAAGAAAGAAAGAAAGAAAGAAAGAAAGAAAGAAAATACAATGGAAGAAATAGATGTATGGAAAAGAAAAGTAAAATTAAAATAATTGTTAATAAAAGCAAGAATTATTAAAACAAAATAAATAAATAAATAAATAAGTAAAGAAAGAAAGAAAGAAAGAAAGAAAGAAAGAAAGAAAGAAAAGGAATAGATGTGTGAATGGAAAGAGAAGAAAGAAATTTTGGAAACAAAGAAAGAATTATCAAAGAAAGTGAGAAAGAATCGGTAAAAAAAAGTAGTAAAGGATTGGTAATACAAAAGAAGTAATGAATCGGTAAAACAAAGAAACAAAGAAAGAAAAACAAAGAAACAAAAGGAATAAATGTGTGGAAGGAAAGAGAAGAAAGAAATTTTGGAAACAAAAAAAGAATTGCCAAAGAAAGAATCGCTAAAAAAAAAAAAAAGAAGTAAAGGATTGGTAATACAAAAGAAATAATGAATCGGTAAAAGAAAGAAAGAAACAACGAAAAGGAATAGATGTGTTAAAGGGAAAAAGAAAGGTAATTGAAAACAAAGTATTGTTAAAAGAAAGAAAGAAAGAAAGAAAGAATAGACAAAATACTGTGATACTCACTTGTTGGTGCGTGACAACTGTTTCCAGTTTGGACACGTTCCAGGTTGTAGTTTTTCCATTAATGCACTGAAATAGACCAGTGAAAAAACAAATTACAGCCTCCACTGGACTTTAATGAAGACAGTTTAAGTCAAGGTTACCTATCGTCACCCGGGATATAACTCTCAGGCAAAATTTAACCCCATGAATCCTAGTGACTTCACGCCTTCCCCGGGGCGTAATGCTTAAAAAAAAAAATTAAATTCCTTTCAGTTTATCGACGTTTGATATCGATTTAATAAGGATTATAGAAAAGCTACCATTACGGACTGTTCGTAGAAAAAGGTTTTGAAATGTATTAAAGAACATCTCACCCTCCCTTTATCTCTCTCTCTCTCTCTCTCTCTCTCTCTCTCTCTCTCATACACACACACATGCACTCACGTGCCCGCATGTTTCCGCAAACGCACACTTAAAAAATACATCGACGCACAAATCAATCAATATAAATTGAAAATATTCATACAAATACGCACACATAGACATATACGCAAGCACACACACACACATACATATATTTTTAATGGTGTCTCTATTGAATATGGCATTTTTTTAAGGCCAATGACTCACATCGTTTGCTACAATTCCTAAGTGCTAGATTCGCATTTTCTTTGATAGCAGCATCCAGCAATTGATCTGAGACAGTTACAGAGCATTGTCATTTGTATCAATAACATTGTCATCAATAACGCTGGGTCCGTCACATGGGCTGTTTTTTTTACGACTAAAATTTTAAAGTATTCGTAATTCTTGCTTGGTAACTTGTATCTTTTGCTACCTGGGTGTGTAGTGAGGGTGTGTAGCATGCGGTATGGCGCAATTGTAGCTCTGTTGTTGGATGTAGACCCGGGTGTGTGTGTGTGTGTGTGTGTGTGTGTGTGTGTGTGTGTGTGTGTGTGTGTGAAAGCATAATTAAAGATGATAGATGAGCAATGTGTTCGTATTGGGGGGGTTGTTTTTTTGTTTGTTTTGTTTTGCTTTTTAGTAAATTTTAGTTCAATTTCCTGGTTTACATCCAAGAAAGTGTGTCTAGATACACTGAATGTAAACATTGTCCTGCTTTTTTTTGATCGAGCGATTTCGATTAGATTCCTGATGTTATCAAGATCTGAGAAAAGCCGTAAAAAAAGATATTTCGGAATTTATGACTTTGCATTTTGATGACGTTCCGTGACGTGCGCGACAGAGTTTTTCACAGAGTTTTCAATCGGATTGCTTCGTTGGACGTACAACGATCAACTTATCCTATAGATGAACTTGCAATTTTCCCAATTAAAATGTCTTTGCGCTCATATTTAATGACAGATATTGACACTGATTTTTCCACTCGTGAACCCCAAACTAAAATTAGAACTCTATGGAAGGTATAAAAATACATTTTTAATTTAAAAGTACCAGCAATATGTTTTCATAATAAAAAGAATGTTCCCCTCAATCTTTTTTGTATTCAATTGTAGAAGCAGAGTAACATATATTATTACTACAAAGCTCCCAAAAATGTAAATATCGACATTAAATAACCCATAAGGGGTTGGTATGCCGTTAAACTTGTACACAGTAAATACTTGTAAACAAGGCGTATACTATGTGTAATGATAAATGTACACAGGTGTATGTTTTAAGAAAGATTTATCCTACTTAGAATACAAGGCTCGCGTATTTGTAGCCTTTTGTAGTCCTAGTAAACAGAAAGAGGAGAGTAACAAAATAAGGGAGACCACTCTTGATTATTCATAATAATATGTAAAATTAACGTATTAAAACACACCGTCTTTTTTTTCTAGTGTGGTTGGGTATGGTGGACATTAATTAGATAGAGACATAAACATAATTAATACCGTGTTTGTATAAATTTGTAATTCATACAGCAATTTTAAGAACTCTATACTTAACACCGGATTTTATAGTGGATATTAATAAGTTAATTTAACAAAATTAAAAGGCTTTAGATCCTGAAGCTCTTGCCATAAAATCAAAAAAGCCCAAACAAATTTTTTTCTTCAGTTTGGATTGCTCCACTGGTAAAATATATTTTTTAGAAATCATTTTTGCAGATTAGCTTTCAATGAAATATTCCTTAAGCCATGTCACTTGTCAGAATCGAAAGACATTGATTTGTTATCCTTTTAGAAAGGAGGTCCGCTTCATAATATCGATACTGTGTAAAATCAATTCCTGATTTTTACGGTGTTATAGAAATTAGAATACGTTTATGCCATTGATATCTGCGTACGAAAACATTTATTTAATCTTACGAAAATATTTCTTTAAAAAAAAAACAAAAGGATATATAAATTTTTGTGCTTTATTTTAAGAAAATATTTTAATCAATTGTTTAGCGAAATATTTTTTTCTTTTCATTATTTTGCAAAAAATATTTTTCTCGTTAAGGTAAAAAAAAATATGTAGGCTATTAAAAAATATGTAGGCATCAATACACATAAGTATATTTTCAAGGCACGACATTTGTAGCTAATTTTCGATAACTCTGTAGAAGTCAGCGATCGATTTGACACTATATTGAGCTTCAGTCATTTTCATACCAACGTAAAGTCGCTTCCCTGTGACTTTTATATAAATACTTTCATGGTAATTGTTCGGATGAGCTCTTCTCTATGTTACCTAGACTTTTTGAATTTAAGTGCAGTATTAGACTAGCGTCGAGATTTCATCAATTTACAGTTGAGCTTGTTAGATGTAACCGTAATTTCTATGTTAATGGTTTGTTTTCTCTCACTTCTCTCTCGTGGAACACCCTTCCGGCTCCATGTTTTCCTGTCAACTTTAAGGGCAATGTTGTCGGAGTTACCTCCTCCTTCTGTCCTTGAACCAGCAGAGGAACAGGTCTTTTCGACCTTGACCTCTCATTCATGCTCCTCACACACTCTTAACACGTCAGAGGGACCAGCAAATCCCCTTTTTAGTTAGGCTATATCACAAACCTAGTTGTAATATACTTCTAGTCATTTTTAGACATTAGTTATCTTTGGCTAACCTTGTAGTATTTTTTATAGAGACTTTTCGGTTAGCTTAGCCAATTTCTCTTGCTGGGCCCCTCGACACAAGACAGTGATTTCTCCCAAGCAGGCTGTCGGCGCCGCAACGGTCGTCTAAAACAATTGTGTTTCAAGGGCGCCGATCAACGGGCTTTGTATTACGCTCCCATTTCTTTTTGTCTGCCAACTTGACGATAGTTGGAAATTTCTTTCGATTCTCTCTCTCTCTTCCCCAACACGTCAAGTTGGCATCCCGGCAATGACAAACAACGAGTTGGCAACACGAACTACAGCAACAAGACCCCGGCAACGACTCAGCTTCAACAACCAACAAAGATCATCCTGGCATCATAACATCAACAACCACCAAGCGATCATCCTGGCAACAACCCACATCAGCTTCAACCCCCAACAACGATGATCCTAGCAACTGCCAACCTCGACCATCAATGCCTGCACTAAAACTTCTGCAGTATCCAGTGCTCCTGCAGCATCCGGCTCTCCCTGAGTATCCAGCACTCCTGCATCATCCAGCACCTCCACCGTTTCCGACCATCTTCATTTCCTTTTTCTTTTAGAATAAACCTCTATATATCATATATATCCTCGTTCTGTCGTCCATATTGTTTCACGGTCAGGTTTAATCGCGTCAAAAATGTTAGAGGCTTGTTTCACCCCTTTCCGTGATACCATCACCACTGGACCGCCCAAATCAATCACTATCTACTGTCCTCCTCATTACTCTCATCTCTTCCCGCTCATTATTAATGTTCCTGTTCCCAATTCTTCCACACACTGTAAACAATTGTGTTTCACTGGCTTTACTACTTTGCATGGTTTGAAACCGATTAAAAATATTTCGAATAGGACCCCTTTCTAAATCAATATATATATATATATATATGAAGAAATATAGTTTTAAGGCGTGCTATATTTATAATATAAAGTGCTCAATATCAGAGATAGAGCGTGTGTAAATATAAAAGTGAACATTGAAGTCAACACTCAGAGGCGACAGGAGCTTGTTTCATACTGTATGGAATCATCAGTCCGCCTGACGATTGCGTCCACCATGAAACAGCTTGTCATAGTGTTGATTTAATGTTTACTTTACATATATATATGTGTGTGTGTGTGTGTATATATATACATATATATATATGTATATATACATATATATATATGTGTGTGTGTGTGTGTATTTTTGACAAGGATGGTCTAAAAAGAAGTAATCTACAAAAATTATTTGCCAAAAAAAGTTTTCTCTATTTTTTACAAGTAGACTCACAGTTTGGGCGTAAGTATTTTAAATGTACGCCACCCTTCACTGTATGCTTGGTTATAATCTCCATGATTTCGCCGTGATGCCTTGGTAATCTTCCAGATTATTATTACTGTAGTTTAAGGTCGATAACATTCTTGCCTAGCGATATTCTGAACCTGGTAATTATGTACATTACTATTTTGACAAGTATGTTCGCCTAGGTTGTTATTTGTCTCGCTCGTTGTACCCTAGGCTTTGTACGCGGTATAATTTTATGAGTATAATAAAAAAAAAAAGGTAAACATGATGACCCTAACAGAAAATATATAATAACAAACTAAATCAAATTATTACTTTTTTCCTATCTAGGTCATCGATTATTTCATGTTTTTCTTTTCTATCCAATACAAAGGAAATAACTTACTGAAGGGCAACTCCATCGCTCCAGTTCGACGAGAAATTTGTTATATTACAGTCAGGTAAGAAGGATTGAAGGCAGTTGATCATTAGCATTTTTGGTGCCGCTCTGGCGTTGGAAGTCGAGATCTGGTACCGTAGAATAAGGCGCCAAATCAAACCCAAGATGAGTTTCAGGTTTCCATTCACTACATCTTCGTTGCCTACAAAAAGAATTTAAAAAAAAAAAAAAAGCAATTAGTGGATTTGTTTGATGCGACATTATTTCTTATTACTATAAATGCTAGAAACAAAAAAAAGATGGTAAAAATTTTTCAACACCTGCCTAAAATTTATGACGTGCATCCATATTTTGAAATGATAACTTTTCAACATGTCTTTCTAGGCAATTCACGAGCACATTTCTGAATTTTATATCTTTTTACGTTAAAAGTGAAAATGAAAAAACAAAAAAAAATGTAAATGGAAAAGGAAATGCATTTTCGTCATTTTTGTTCTTCCATTTTTGGAAAGAAAAAAACAGCAAACATGGATAAATGTACCTGCCAAGAAGACATAGTATCAAAAGGGACGGGTTTTCACATGACATCGTTTTTTTTTTTTTAGCTACCTTCACTTTCGGTGATTTTTATTCTTTTAAAAAGCGATTATTATACAGTATAACCCGGATATAAGAGAGCCGGATATAAGAGAAACCCGGATATAAGAGAGATTTTCTCTGGTCCCAAATTAGAGCCTGTGTTAATGTAAACAAAATAAACCAAACCCGGATATAAGAGAAATCCGGATATAAGAGAAACCCGGATATAAGAGACTTCTTTTTCGGTCCCGACAACTCTCTTATATCCGGGTTACACGGTAAATGGAATAAAATCTAAACATATGAGGAAAATGAATTTATACATTCTTTGTTTCTAGTGAATTTACAACCAAAATATTAATTATTTATCTGTCTATTTATTGGATTGTTTGTTTACAATAATAAACAACGTTCTAAAAACTAAAATATTTAGAACAAATTCAATGCGATATTTATCATTTACCAATTTATAAAAAAGTAAATGCGAAAATTTTTAATCATAAATTTATAAACATTTACTAATTTATTAAAATATGTGAACTAACTATATGTAAATCTCTATTATTACCATTTTTTAAAATTTGAATCAATTAGTCGATTTTTTGCCGACCAATCCAATATAACAGATAAATAGTGTAAATAAACAATCTAATAAATAAATAGTGTCTATTATCTTTGTTACCAATTCTCAAGAACAAAGAAAATGTATAGTTCACTTTCATATGTTTAGGTTTTATTACAATTCTAATCATCGCTTTTTATAATAATAAACATTGCCGAGGGGTGAAGGTAGTTAAAATAATAACGGTGTCAATGAAAAAACCGTCCTCTTGACACTCCGTCTTATTGCGGGCACGTTTGTGTACAAACATCAAAGATACGAGTCATTTATGGAGATGGTGTCAGAGCTGAGAGTCCCGTTCGTGGTTCACTAGGTTCAGAAGTGGACATTTGGATCGAGAAGACAGAAAAAAAAGAATAAGGAAGACGATTGTGCATTACGGACTCCTTCCGCAAAAAACAGACACAGAATCCAGACAAACGCTGTTCCCAATTAAAGGAAGCAATCGATGAAGAACATCCTAATTTACCCAATGTGCGCTCCGGGCTGATTACGAATCTGTGTCCTCCTTTCTAAAAGAAACGACCGTTTGATCCGGCCTATTTTAGAAGTTTCTTTATTAGGAGTTCTTGAGTGCGGAGGGCGATATATTTAATAGACACTATTTTAAAATAAAAATAAGGCCTCTATTTCAAATACGGGTATACACAAAAATGATGCTTGAAGAAATAAAAATGTGGGATTAAAAATATATCCATTAATTCTTTAAATATTTCCTTTGATTCCTTTTTGATTAATTGATTGATTTGTTTTTTACGGTTTATCAACTTTTTGTAGGCTATTTAAAGCCAGACAATTTTTTTTTTAGATTGTAAGATTTCTTTGAGATAATAACGATGTACTGATACAAATACTACTAATTAACCCATAGCTGTGGGAGAAGAAGTGGATTCATACCTTTCTCAAGGGCATTGTGGGTAAGAAAATATAACGAACCCGACTGGTATTGGAATACGGCTCTCTGATTTCAAATTCTTAGCCGTTATCAATTACGCCGCCCGCACATTTAAGCTTACAGCCCTTGATATTCCCAAGCGGTCACCCATCGATGTAGTGAGCAGGCTCAACGTTGCTTAACTTCGGTAATCGTACGAGAATAAGTGCTTCAATTTGATAAAGCCGTAAGCCTTATAATTCGAGTACGAAACTAAGTCGATATGCGCTTTCAAGAGAAATAATCTAAACGAGAAAATGTGTTTTCCTTAAAAAGGCCAAAACGAAATCTTGCTGGGCGGTCCGGTCTCTGTGGCTGAGCTGGTTAAGGCACACCGGATCGCACGGTGGCTTTTCTTACAAAGGCGATGTAGGTCTGAAACTTGCCGAAGAGCAGATTTTCTTTAGTAATATTGCTCGAGTGCGCAGGCAAATAGATGTAATATACACAGTTTAAATATAATTAAACAAAAAAAAAACGAGGCGTCTATTTAAAATATGGGTATCCAGTAAAAATAACGTTTGAAGTAATAAAACTATCGGATTAAAAATAAATCCATTAATTAATTTATTAAATATTTATAATATTTATAAATGCTAAGGATGACACGTGATTCCGGATGAAGGGATAGTTTAGTATTTAATCAATGTACAGGTAGGAATAGGCGAAGCTGATTAAGGTTATTTTTTAGATAGTTTTTTTTGTTTTGTTTTTTTTTTTTATCGCGGTTTCATAGCCGATTTAAAACTGTTCCTGTCCAACTCTAACTGAACAGGTAGGAACCTGCTGGACAATAGCGTATGTCAAGAAGGCAACACAAACAATTATGTCTGTCAGACACGCGAAAAAATGATTTTTCTCCACATTTTTCCCCAAGTTTTTTATCCAAGTCGTAAAACTCCATTATTAATTACATCCATATCGTTTTGAATGCTGTTTCTAAAACGTTTCTCGTGTACCGATTCACTTTCTGTTTATCAATCGCTTTCTCTCTCTCTCTCTCTCTCTCTCTCTCTCTCTCTCTCTCTCTCCATCTCCCCTTATCGATTTATCTGTCTGTCTGTGTAGCATGTGTCATGCAGTAAAATACCTAATTTTCAATAGCCCACTTTATTCCAGGCTGAATAAAAAAAACTTAACGTATGTTGGTTACACAGCAACATTTCTCTTTAGAAGAATGTCAGGACAACCATTTCAGCAAAATGCCAGAGATAAACATTTAACATAAATCCAAAACACGTTCATTCTAATTTCTGTTATATTTTGGTTGACAATACAACAGTATTTTTTGCCCCTTCATTTGCAAATGAAGTAAAAAAAAAAAAAGAAAAGGAAAAAGAAAATTGAAACTCTTTACATCAAAGGAAAGCAACGTGTTATTAATAAAATTTATTTCAGGCGTGCACATGTTAAAAATATGCCTTTGTACTGTAATTTTTGCGATGTGAAGCTGACATACATTCCGAGCAAAGTGACATACATTCCGAGCAAAGTGACATACATTCCGAGCAAAGTGACATACATTCCGAGCAAAGTGACATACATTCCGAGCAAACATACATTCCATGACATACATTCTGAGCAAAGTGACATACATTCCGAGCAAAGTGACATACATTCCGAGCAAAGAGCAAAGTGACATACATTCCGAGCAAAGTGACATACATTCCGAGCAAAGTGACATACATTCCGAGCAAAGTGACATACATTCCGAGCAAAGTGACATACATTCCGAGCAAAGTGACATACATTCCGAGCAAAGTGACATACATTCCGAGCAAAGTGACATACATTCCGAGCAAAGTGACATACATTCCGAGCAAAGTGACATACATTCCGAGCAAAGTGACATACATTCCGAGCAAAGTACATTCCGAGCAAAGTGACATACATTCCGAGCAAAGTGACATACATTCCGAGCAAAGTGACATACATTCCGAGCAAAGTGACATACATTCCGAGCAAAGTGACATACATTCCGAGCATTCCGAGTGAAGTGACATACATTCCGAGCAAAGTGACATATCCTGAGCAAAGTGACATACATTCCGAGCAAAGTGACATACATTCCGAGCAAAGTGACATACATTCCGAGCAAAGTGACATACATTCCGAGCAAAGTGACATACATTCCGAGCAAAGTGACATACATTCCGAGCAAAGTGACATACATTCCGAGCAAAGTGACATACATTCCGAGCAAAGTGACATACATTCTGAGCAAAGTGACATACATTCCGAGCAAAGTGACATACATTCCGAGCAAAGTGACATACATTCCGAGCAAAGTGACATACATTTCCGAGCAAAGTGACATACATTCCGAGCAAAGTGACATACATTCCGAGCAAAGTGACATACATCCGAGCAAAGTGACATACATTCCGAGCAAAGTGACATACATTCCGAGCAAAGTGACATACATTCCGAGCAAAGTGACATACATTCCGAGCAAAGTGACATACATTCCGAGCAAAGTGACATACATTCCGAGCAAAGTGACATACATTCCGAGCAAAGTGACATACATTCCGAGCAAAGACATACATTCCGAGCAAAGAGAGCAAAGTGACATACATTCCGAGCAAAGTGACATACATTCCGAGCAAAGTGACATACATTCCGAGCAAAGTGACATACATTCCGAGCAAAGTGACATACATTCCGAGCAAAGTGACATACATTCCGAGCAAAGGTGACATACATTCCGAGCAAAGTACATTCCGAGCAAAGTGACATTCCGAGCAAAAGTGACATACATTCCGAGCAAAGTGACATACATTCCGAGCAAAGAGCAAAGTGACATACATTCCGAGCAAAGTGACATACATTCCGAGCAAAGTGACATACATTCCGAGCAAAGTGACATACATTCCCAAAGTGACATACATTCCGAGCAAAGTGACATACATTCCGAGCAAAGTGACATACATTCCGAGCAAAGACATACATTCCGAGCAAAGTGACATATCCGAGCATTCCGAGCAAAGTGACATACATTCCGAGCAAAAGTGACATACATTCCGAGCAAAGGACATACATTCCGAGCAAAAGGACATACATTCCGAGCAAAGTGACATACATTCCGAGCAAAAGTGACATACATTCCATACATCTGAGCAAAGTGACATACATTCCGAGCAAAGTGACATACATTCCGAGCAAAGTGACATACATTGATACATTCCTGGAGCAAAGTGACATACATTCCGAGCAAAGTGACATACATTCCGAGCAAAGTGACATACATTCCGAGCAAAGTGACATACATTCCGAGCAAAGTGACATACATTCCGACATATTCCTGAGCAAAGTGACATACATTCCGAGCAAAGTGACACACATTCCGAGCAAAGACATTTCCGAGCAAAGTGACATATTCTGAGCAAAGTGACATACATTCCGAGCAAAGTGACATACATTCCGAGCAAAGTGACATACATTCCAGAGCAAAGTGACACATTCCGAGCAAAGTGACATACATCCGAGCAAAGTGACATACATTCCGAGCAAAGTGACATACATTCCGAGCAAAGTGACATACATTCCGAGCAAAGTGACATTCCGAGCAAAGTGACATACATTCCTGAGCAAAGTGACATATCCGAGCAAAGTGACATACATTCCTGAGCAAAGTGACATACATTCCGAGCAAAGTGACATACATTCCGAGCAAAGTGACATACATTCTGAGCAAAGTGACATACATTCCGAGCAAAGTGATACATTCCGAGCATTCATTCGAGCAAAGTGATACATTCCGAGCAAAGTGACATACATTCCGAGCAAAGTGACAACATTCCTGAGCAAAGATACATTCCGAGCAAAGTGACATACATTCGAGCATACATTCCGAGCAAAGTGACATACATTCCGAGCAAAGTGACATTCCGAGCAAACATACATTCCGAGCAAAGTGACATATTCTGAGCAAAGTGACATACATTCCGACAAAAGTGACATACATTCTGAGCAAAGTGACATACATTCCGAGCAAAGTGACATACATTCCGAGCAAAGTGACATACATTCCGAGCAAAGTGTACATACATTCCGAGCAAAGTGACATACATTCCGAGCAAAGTGACATACATTCCTGAGCAAAGTGACATACATTCCGAGCAAAGTGACATACATTCCGAGCAAAGTACATTCCGAGCAAAGTGACATACATTCCGAGCAAAGTGACATAAGATTCCGAGCAAAGTGACATACATTCCGAGCAAAGTGACATACATTACATTCCGAGCAAAGTGACATACATTCTGAGCAAAGTGACATACATTCCAAAGTGACATACATTCCGAGCAAAGTGACATACATTCCTGAGCAAAGTGACATACATTCCGAGCATGACATACATTCTGAGCAAAGTGACATACATTCCGAGCAAAGTGACATACATTCCGAGCAAAGTGACATACATTCTGAGCAAAGTGACATACATTCCGAGCAAAGTGACATACATTCCGAGCAAAGTGACATACATTCCGAGCAAAGTGACATACATTCCGAGCAAAGTGACATACATTCTGAGCAAAGTGACATACATTCCGAGCAAAGTGACATACATTCCGAGCAAAGTGACATACATTCCGAGCAAAGTGACATACATTCCGAGCAAAGTGACATACATCTGAGCAAAGGACATACATTCCGAGCAAAGTGACATACATTCCGGAGCAAAGTGACATACATTCCGGAGCAAAGTGACATACATTCCGAGAGCAAAGTGACATACATTCCGGTTAAAGTGACATACATTCCGAGCAAAGTGACATACATTCTGAGCAAAGTGACATACATTCTGAGCAAAGTGACATACATTCCGAGCAAAGTGACATATTCTGACAAACATTCCTGAGCAAAGTGACATACAGCAAAGTTCCTGAGCAAAGTGACATATTCCGAGCAAAGTGACATACATTCCGAGCAAAGTGACATACATTCCGAGCAAAGTGACATACATTCCGAGCAAAGTGACATACATTCGAGCAAAGTGACACATTCCGAGCAAAGTGAATTTCCGAGCAAAGTGACATTTCCGAGCAAAGTGACATACATTCTGAGCAAAGGACATACATTTGACATACATTCTGACATACATTCCGAGCAAAGACATACATTCCGAGCAAAGTGACATACATTCCGAGCAAAGTGACATTTCCGAGCAAAGTGACATACATTCCG